TGTTACCTTTACCAAACCTTGATCCCTTCACTTCTTTCCCCAAACAAACCCTTGTTCAGTTTATAACCCTCTTTAGAGTCATAGACTTATAGAGTTATACAGTAATACAGTATGGAAGCAGGCCCTTCGGCCCAAACTGGTCCGTGCTGACCATGGTGCCCACTCAGTTCGTTCCAATTGTCTGCATTTGGTCCATATCCCTCTAAACCCTTCTCATCCATGTAACTATCCAAATATTCTTTTTAAATGTTGCTATTGTACCTGCCTCAACCACTTTCTCTGGCAGCTCTTTCCATATACGCACCACTCTCTGCATGAAGAAGTTGCCCCTCAGGTCCTTCTTAAATCTATCCCCATTCAGCTTAAACCTATGCCCTCTAGTTTTCAATTCCCCATCCCTGAGAAAAAGACTGCATGCATTCATTCCATTTATGCTCCTCATGATTTTATACACCTCAATAATGTCAACCCTCATTCTCCTATGTTCAGAAGGAATAAAGTCCTATCCTGGCCAACTTCTCCCTATAACTCAGGCCTACATCCTCGTAAATCTTCTTTGCACAGTTTCAAGTTTAACTATGTCTTTCCTATAACAGGGTGGCCAAAACTGTACACAACACTCCAAGAGCAGTCTCATCAACGACTTACACAACTGTAACATTACGTCCCAACTCCCACACTCAGTACCTCAACTGATGAAGGCCTGCATGCTAAATGCCTTCTTCACCAACCTGTCCACCTGTGACGCCGCTTTCAATGAACTATGTACTTGTACTCCTCAGTCCCTCAGTTACACAACACTCCTCAGCACCTTAACATTTACTGTACAAGTCCTACCTTGGTTTGCCTTTCCAAAATGCAACACCTCACACTTATCTGTATTGAATTCCATTTGCCAATCCTCAGCCCACTTCCCTATCTGATCAAAATCCCTCTAATTTTTGATAACCTTCTTCGCTATGAACAATACCTCCTAATTTTGTATCATCTGCAAATTTACTAATTATGCCTTGTACATTCACATCCAGATAATTTATGTAAATAATAAATAACGAAGGTCCCAGCACCGACCCCTGTGGCACACCATTAGTCACAGGCTTCCAGTCCGAGAAAAACCCTTCAACCATCACCCTCTGCTTCCTACCATTGAGCCAATTTTGAATCCAATTAGCTAGCTCTCCCTGGATCCTATGTGACCTAACCTTCATGATTAGCCTGCCATGCGGAACCTTGTCAAAGGCCTTACTAAAGTCCATATAGACAACAAGCACTGCCCTATCCTCATGGTTACCTCTTCGAAAAGCTCTAAAAGATTTGTCAGACATGACTTTCCGCACACAAATCCATGCTGACTATCCAAATGTTGGTTGATTCTGTCCCTCAGTATCCTCTCCAATAACTTGACTACCACCGATATCAGGCTCAGTGGCCTGTGGTTCCCTGGCTTGTCTTTGCTTCCTTTCTTAAACAATGGAATAACATTAGCCACCCTCCAGTCTTCTGGAACTTCACCAGTGGCTAAAAATGAAGCAAAAATCTCTGCAAGGGCCTCTGCAATTTCTTCCCTAGCCTCCTGCAATGTCCGAGGGTGGACTTGATCAGGCCCAGGCGATTTATCCAACTTAATGCAAACTCAGGCTGCAAACATCTCTTCTCTGGTAATGTGCATGCATTCCAAAACATCCCCACTTTTTTCCCTTATTTCCTTAGCATCCATGATTCTCTCGTCAGTAAACTCGGAGGAGAAATATTCATTAAAAATCTCCCCCATCTCCTGTGGTTCCACATAGATGGCCATGCTGACCTTTAAGAGGACCTAGAACCTCTTGGGATTATCTTTAAACTTATCTGCCAGGTCTATCACATACCGTCTTGCTCTTCTGATTTCCCACTTAAGTGTGCTCCTACACTTTTTATCACCATGTAGGGAGTCACTCGAGACTGATAGCTTAAACCCAATATATGCCTTCTTCATTTTTCTTGACCAGAGCCTCAATATCCCTCGTCAGCCAGGGATCCCTAAATCTGCCAGCTTTTCCCTTCACCCTAACAGGGACGTACTGTCCCTGGACTCTTGAATCACATTTTTAAAAGCCTCTCATTTGGCAATCATTCCTTTTCCTTCAAACAGACTCACCCAATTGACCTCTGCTAGATACTGTCTAATGGCCCCAAAATTGGCCCTGATCCAGTTTCGCACCTTTACCTGTAGACCTGTCCTATCTTTTTCTATAAGTATGTTAAAACTGAGAGAGTTATGGTCATGGACCCAAAGTGCTCTCCGAATGACACTTCAGTCACTTGCGCGCCCTCGTTTCCTAAGAGGAGGTGTATGTGTTGTACCCTCCAGAGTAGGGCCCTCTACATATTGATTTAGTAAACATTCTTGGACACATTTGACAAATTCCACCCCTTCCAGGCCTTTTACCCTCTGGGTAGCCCAGTCAACACGGGGAATTAAAATCTCCAACCAACACTACTCTATCATTCGGTCTGGCAGTATCTGTGAGGAAAAATTCAGAGTTAACATTTCAGGTGTGGTGACCCTTCCTCAGAACCATTCTGAGAAAGGATCACCGGACCCAAAACTTTAACCCTCTAATTTTTTCTTCACGGATGCTGCCAGATCTGCTGAGCTTTTCCAGCAAGTTCTGTTTTTGTTCCTGATTTACAGCATCCGCAGTTCTTTCGGTTTTTATCTACTCTATCGTTCCTACAGGTACCTGTAGACTGTCCCAATGGTACAGGGCTTACTTTCCCCAGTTTTGGTTCCAGTGCCCCACGAACTGGAATCCACTCTGCCCATGCCAGTCTTAGAGCCATGCATTCACTTTTCATCATGTGCCAAATTGCAGGTACCGATCCAGAATGCCTACACTTTGTAATTGAACACCTAACGTCTCATATTCCTTCAACAGAACTACATTCCTGGTTCAGTTACTATTGTTGTAGGCACCAACATGGACCACAACCACTGGCTCATCCCTTTTCCAATACAAGGTTTTCTCCTGGCCTGAGCAAACATCCCAAATCCTAGCACCAGGCAGACAATTTTCTGAAGAAGGGTCCCGACCCGAAACGTCAACTTTCCCGCTCCTCTGATGCTGCCCAGCCTGCTGTGTTCCTCCAGCTCCACGCTGTGTTATCTCTGACTCCAGCATCAGCAGTTCTTACCATCTCTGAGACAAATTGAGCTGCCTGCTCTTTGCTGCAGAGAGCAGTATCAATGCCCCTCACTACAGTGTCCCTTACTCCCAATGCATTCCTTCTCACTCCCTTCCCCTGAGCATGACCAGTTTGCTCATCCACCCTGCAGCCTTCATCCTCAGTAAAACAGGCCAGGAAAACCTCTAACCTGTTGGACAATTGAAACGTTTCCGCATTTCTGCTGCTCTGATTCTCTTTGCTGCCTCACTTGGAGTCACATACTTTTGTCTCTGTGCACTGACAAAATCAGAAGGCCCTATCCTGAAGGGGATTGACTACTTCCTAGAATAAAGCACCAGGTAATTTTCCCCGTCTTTGATGCGCTGTAGTGTTCATCTGAAGTCGACCTGAGTTGTCACTCATACGGTGCTTTTTTTTTTTAGGTCAACCAGGAGCTCGTTGTGTTCAACAAAAAGTCTGATCTAGATCATCTTTAGCTCATTGCAATTGCTCCTTTTCATGAAGGAAATAATAGAGATGGATTTGTTTGACATCAGGCAGATCTTAAATGCCCCCACAATACCATTTCAGCAAACAGCAGGAGAGTTAACCCGAAGGTCCTGGGAAATAAAGTTTTCTCGATATTACAAAAATAGATCATGTGGTTATTATCACACTGCTGCATGTGGGAGCTTGCTATGGGCAAATTGGCCACTGTGTTTCTTGCATTGCAGCAGTACCTACACTTTGGAAGTTCCTAATTAGCTGGAAATGCCTTCAGATGTCTGGTGCCCATGAAAAGCTTCAGTAAAAGCAGAAACCTTCCTTCCAAGATGCTGATTCTTCACCTTAACTGTCACTGCAGATACAGTTTGATCTGCTTGAGAAACTCTCACAAAGTACAAAAGTCACAGGGGGCCAGAGATTTCCCTCAGTCTTTACTACACCTTTGAACCAAATAACTCCCAGGCCTGGTGTTTCAAAATGTCTATTCAAAATGGCACGCAATAAATCACTACATAATGTACATGACAAGAGCTTATTGTACTCTATCAACTTTCACACCCTTTTTTGGCAGGTAACAAGGCACAAAACCAGCTCATTTATCCATGGATTTTTACACTGGAATTTCTCAGATAAGCAAATTAAACGCATTGAAAGTGTTACAGGCCATCACAATCATGTTATATTAATGAGCTTCATAGAAACATACATTCTTTGACATAGAAACATGGACTTACAGGTTTTTTCCCCCAATAAGACCACTGTCATAAAATGTAATCTGCGAAATATCATTCATCATGCAGTGCCAAGTCCAAATAGCCACGATTTCTTGATCGCCCACGGTTGTCCTCAGTCTGATTGTAATACTATATCATATTCAGCAAGAGGATTCCACCACTATACAAGTGCTCTCCATAGTCTTATGGTAGATCCCATTGCAAACAGTTCCATCATCACACAGAACTCACCAGTTGTTTTTTTCTTCTGACCACATTATGCTCAATGTATATTGTTACAATACCAAAGACAGCGCAATACTCTCAGAAGTTAACTTTGTCTACTGTTAAAGACAAACCAGAAGGTCATTTGGAAACAGCGATTGCTACATGCAGCTGCTGACACAACACTCTCTTGACTCTTGTAATTACATTGAAACTGACATACATTCATTGGAAAAAATGCAGCTCTACTTCCAAAGATTTGTGTATATTCGAAAAAGGCATGCAACTTGATGCAAATCTTGGTGTACCGCAAGGTGTTAAACAAACAACTGGGAGTTCGTCTGACCCTGATACACTCAAAATCCTCGCTTGGCCTCTTTTGTTTTTAAGAAAGATTCCAAGACTAACCTTTGCTAATATCTTGATATTCCATCCACAGCTGTCTCTGAACAGAACGATTTGGAAACCAAATGGTGCACGTTTCCTCAAATCCGTAGAGAGCCTCCTGGATGTAGTGATTGCCAAATTCCTCCAGCACTGACACAAAGTCACTCCGCAGTGTGGCTCCATCCAGAGAATGGACAGCATGGCTGAATGCTGAAACAAAAAAAAACACATGCTTTCAAACAAAAAAGACAAGTTTATGCAGAGGGCACAGTTCCAAGCTACAACTGGAGACATAGCTGGTGAGAATCGAGACAGTGCAGCTCAAGATATAGCTCGTATGAGAGTTACTCGATAGTTGAAGACTTTCTTCAAGAAAAATAAGATTATTGCTGTTGCCTCGGGTATATTGTTACTGGTCAGTTCAAGCTGAGAGTTAAACATAACATTGTTACTTAATAGATAGCTGAAGTTAGGAGTCATTTATGCAGTGCGATGGCATGATTGATAGAGGGGCTGTGCACATAAATGTACTGCTCTTATTTGACAACAATGAATGAGTAAGAAAAAAGAATCAAGTGGTTTATATTCATGCAAGATGGTCATTGAAACTGCCAATAACAACACTGAAGGAAGTGTTATTGTGACACGGTGGCAGTGTCTGTATCTCTAAGCCTGAAGGCCCAGTTCAAGTCCCAGCTGCTCGAGAGGAGCCTCGACAGGTTCCTCAAAAGACTTTTGTGTGACAGTGGTAATGTTCCTACCACTGCAAAGCCTGGCTTCTCTTTTCTCCTGCTTCAGAGGTGTGTCATAACATGTATGAATTGGTTGATCAAAAGTATCTCATAAAAAACATCATTTTCAAGAGTTTGCTGTGGGCAGTGGCAGTGTCCCAACCTCTAAGCCAGAAGACCTGGGTTCAAGTCCTGCCTGCTTCAGATGTGTTTCATAGAACATCTGAACAGGTTGGTTTAATGCTGGTTGCTGGCCATGGTCCTGAATCAGCAGGGGTGCCTGTCCTCGTCTATCGACTGATCCTGAAACAAATACAAAGTGTTGGATAAACTCAGCAGGTCTGACATCATCCACACAGACAGAAACAACACTTTCTGTTTTTGTTTCAGACTTCCAGCACTCAGTTCTTTGCTTTAGAAACTGGTTTGTCTTACTTTAAAATGACAAAATAGCTCACAAAACTGTTCCCACAGACTGCACTCCCAAAACTAGTAGAAGCTATGTGACAAAGTGAAGGATTTTTAGGTCAAAGTTTTGGGGCCCAATCTTATACAAGGTCAACCACCACTCTAGCTTGTACATTGCTTGAAGTTATTTGCTTCACTTTTATATCAAATGAACTGAATTGAAGGTCTCTCTGAAGAAGAATGTCACAACTAATTTAAACATGGCTTTCAATTAAAGTAAACATTGCTTATTTGCATGCTTTTATATTTTCTTATTCAATACCTTTATACTCATTGTAACCATGAAGCATTTTGGATTTACTCTGTTTTTTGTTCTAATTCAGTAATTTTAGGTTCAGCTTACAAAAAAAGAGTCAACTCCCACGGCTCAAGTCTTTTTTTTTCCTCAACACTATACCACAATCTAAAATAAGCTTATGTATAATCAGAAACATTGTAGGCTGCTGAGAGAAACTCACCAGAGGGGATCGGGTATCAGTACATTCCATCCACAGAGCAGATTTAGCTCAAAATGGAAGTTTGAAAGTCTCACACTCAAACCTCAAGGATTAAGGTCTCCACTCATGGGAGTTGAGTTTGATTGCATTTAAGTCAATCTGCCAAACAAAGTGAGAAGGCTCTTTCCCCATCAGGGAACATAATGAACAATGGTCTAATGGGTAGAAAGTTGACTGTATTTTGAAAAGAATCTGAACATAGCCACTCTCAGTCATCGGGGAAGGTGACTGCGCTGAAAACCTCACGTCTTCCCCAACACCTGCCCCCCCACCCCACCCCACCAACCTTGCTCTTGCTTCTGAGCCCTTTAGCTCAGTTTTGCTGTCCACCTCCTCCCCGAGTGTTGCAGTGAGTAACTCACCACGTAACTCCCCGAAGCCTATCCTCCTTCTACAGGGCACAAGTCAGGATTGCTGAGATAAGCACTGTTATTGCTGGATTCCAAGCTTTTGACCTGCTCTTGCAACCATTGTTTTTGCTGTGGCTAGTCTAGTTCAGCTTGCGCGCAATGTTCACCCCCATGATATTGGTAACAGGATATTCAGTGATGGTGAACATAATGGGGTGATGGCTAGATTCTCCCTTGCTGGAAATGGTCATTGCACAAATGTTCCTTTCCAAGTATCAGCCCAAGTCTGAATGTTGTCTAGGTCTTGCTGCACATGATCACTGACGACCTCAATATCGGAGTTGTCATTGGATGAAGACTGACATCTCTGATGCTCCGGTCCTTTAGAGATGAAGATGGATCATGATCTCAACATGTTTGGCTGAAGTTGGTTGCAATTGCTTCACCTTTCTCTTTTGCTCCGGTGTGCTTAATTCTGCGAGCATCACCAGTTAGTTGTTTAATTGTCCACAATTGCTGAATGCATCAAGACTACAGAACTTTGAACTGATCCATTTGTTGTGGGATCACTTTGTTCTGTGCATCACATGCATCAGTGTTTAGCCTGTGTTGTAGCTTCATTAGGTTCAGACTCCATTCCTTTTTATAGCTCAGACTGCCCTTTGCCTGTATTCCTATCCCCTTCATTGAACCAGGGTTGCTCCCCTGGCTTGAAGGTCATGGCAGAGAGCGAGATATCTTGGGCCTAAAGGTTACAGATTGTCACTGAATATAATCCTGCCGTTGCTGATGGCCCACAGCACCTCATGGATGCCTAGTTCCAAGTTGTCAAATCCGTTCACTATCTGTCGCTGGCCCAACCTGGCAAGACCCGGTTAGCTTGCCAAGTTGGGGGTGCTATAAAGCCACTCCATGAAGTAGATGTTGAAATCCTCCCCCCCTCGAGAGTTAATTCTGTGTCCTGCCTACCCTCACTACGTAAACAATGTTGAGCAACACTGATTCATTCACTGGCAGGACTAAACAGTAAGTGGTAATCGGCGTAAGGTTTCCTGGCCCATTTTTGTAACCGGGCGCCATCATAGGATCCGATGTCTATATTAAGGACTCCCATCTCACTGTATACCACTTTGCCACCAGTGCTGGTAAATGTGCTGCCAGGGGACAGGACAGAACCAGGTTTGTTGATGGAGATAGAGGGCACGCAAGAGTTCAAACGTATGATCCTGTTGCCATTGGGGTCATTCGACTCATCTGCGGGCTAATTCTTCCCATTTCAACACAACTCCCTCCATGTTAGTGAGGAGGGCTTTGCATGGTCACCTGGAGAAACTGCTGAGAGTTTCCAATGCGTCGGGTGCTAGTGGCGATCTGTCTGGTTTCATTCTTACTTGACTTTCCTGTCACAGTTACCTGCATAACAGACAGGTTTGTAAACCATTTCAGGGGGCAGTTACAAGGTAAGCACATTGCTGTGGGTCTGCGTAAGTCAGACCAGGCCAGGACGGTTGAGCTCCGTCCCTACATTCATGAACTAGGTGGGTTTCTGCGACAATCCAGTAGTTTCACAATCACCATGATTGAGACCAGCTTTTTATTCCCGGATTTATAAACTAATTGAATTTAAATTCCACCAGTCACCATGGCAAGACTCGAGCTTGCTAGTCTGGAACATTAAGTCTGGGTCTCTGGTTTAGTTCTCCAATAATATTTCCAATAATCTACCGTTCCCTCAAGTGCCTTTAACTTTCAGTTGCATGAAAATGAGAATGCCTGTCATGTGGCACATATATTTGTAGTGAGCAAGGATTCACTGTCATAATTCGTGAGTCACACTACCGTTTCTGTACAGATCAGGCCAAATAAGTGCACTTCAGACGACAGGGCCAGAACAAGGCCTACTCAAGGAGTGACTGACGATCGCAAATCCATGAAAATATATATTACAAAGTTCCAAAACCGTGACATTCAATACACATATTAATATCCGCTGTATATTTGTCACTGCTTAGTTTTCCAGATTATGGATTTCAACAGAATTTAGTGCAGCCATAAGTATAAATAACAGAAAAGAATCAGCATACAGCAATGAAAATACAACAGTAGAGATGAATAATGGTATTAATAAACTCAATACATTTGAACATTGTGATCATTACCACCCCTGATGACCCTATTACCAGCCTGAGCAAATACCTTAGGATCATTAATGATTGCAGTGACTGAATAAAACAATCATATTGTCCTAATATATCAAACTTATCAATTAGGCACTCCAATATTACCATTCTGCGAGTGGGAACGCTCTGCTAGTGCTTCTCTCAGAATCACTCAGAAGATGAATCTAATTACAAGTGGGGACCTTACAATTTTAGTTTCATCTTATCTGCTCCAACAGTTTTGAGCATTAAACACTGGTGCTGTTATTTCATCGAATCACTGAGAGGGAGGTAAATCGATATTGGGATATTTCCAGGCTGGAATCATCTTGTCAGTTGACATCGTAACCACATTAATGATAGCCACACTGTAATGACACAGTTACCGCAGAGCCATTAAAACAGCTAAACTGTGCTACTAAATGAAAACATTTTCCTAATAATTGGATTAAAAAGATTAAGTCATCGGAAACGAGGCCCTTGATATTTTTAGGTTGTTGTGCAAATAAGGTTGGAATACAAAGACGCTGAATGACATTGCAATTTGATGCAAGTCCTGAAAATCCAAGTCGAGGGTCATGGGTAGAGTTAGCGCCTCCAGGTGAAGACCTTCAAGTTCAAATTCCTTTCAAATGAAGACTAAGCTCATGAATGTTGCCACAAGCAACCAGCCCAGTGGGGGCAAACATTCAGTAGATCCCAGTAATAGCACTTACTGCATTTGCCAGTCTGAACCTGCACCAATGAAAGGGGGAGTAACTGATACCAGAGATACCTTTGGGTCTGAAATACTGAGCAAGGACACTGACCATCGCTGGGTGGGACGTACTGGTGGCTGTGTGCTTCACCCCACTTATTCACTTCCACAGAGTCATTCACACTTGTTATGAGCAGCAACGGATCCAAATGGCACCAGACCAGGGGAAGTGACCCTGGGGCCAGAGACAGCAGCCTTCAGTCTGCGCCACATCTCCTCAAAGCCTTATCTTCACTCCCCTACAACAC